TTTCATTTGGTTATTCATTTTGTTATTCATTCATAGATTTACTGATATACATCATTTGAGTCAATGTGGATTTTTTATCTTAAATTACTTTGTTTTGTCGCTATTGCTCGCTTTTGAGAACATTCTGGGCTATTGCTTAGACAAATAACTATTTCATGTCCTAGGGTATGCTAAGGTGTAATACATTGGTCAGAGGATCTTCTTGAGCTGACCTATCCCTTGGCATCTACATTGACATTTTTCAAAATTTATTGCATCTCTTTATATTCCTAAATGGAGTTGTGAGATCATAGTTGTACATCCCTTTCTAAATCTCACAGGATTTCATTTTCTTCACTTTTTGTTGCAGATAGTGCCCTTTAGATTACGGTTTAAGCGCAGAACTCAAAATCTGGAAATGGATGCTGATCCAAATGATTGTCAAACTGCTACATCTGCTGGTTTTTTGGATTCTCCATCCACTGATTTGATCTGGTATTGAATGTTCTAAATACTGAATCGTTGTCTCTTATACACATCTTGGATTCTACATCAATTGAGAACTAACTTTAGTTGCATTCAAGTTCTTGTGTCATCAACTTTCTCCCTTTATTCTTTACACAGAAATCCTGAATTCTAGTTTTTAGTTACTCCCCTTTAGAGTTCAGTTCTTTAAATGCATTTGCCTTGTTTCGACTCTTGCAGTATGTAATCCAACGGGTGACTCCTTTTATTTGCTTCGTTTCTCCTCACTTTTCTGTGTCTTCCTTCCTCTTAATCTAGTAAATGCAAATGAAATAGGAAAGGAGGTAAATGTTGCCTGGTTCTGGTGAGGGGTGGGATGGGAAATGAACTGGCTGTAAGTCTTGTAACTAAAAATGGAATTCTTTAAACTAAATGGTCCTGTTTACCACCCGAACTTTGATACCGTTGCAGGTTTCAATGTCGACACACAATCAAGGGCCTGGCTTCCAGAAGGACGCCTGCTGAGGAGTGATGATGCTGACTGTTGGAAGTTTAACATCTTGTAGAGTAATCCTTTGATTCTATTCAATGCACACTTTCATTTCTGGTACTCTTTTTCTGAAATTTGTAGTAGTTCTTAGCTACAAATGCATAATGCGAATAAGGATTTTGGATTTTAGCAAAAATGCAATCCCGAGTCATTGGCGTATTTTGAATTCTTTCAGATTGCATGAGTTCATTGCATGTTGCTGTTGATGTTTTTGAAAAAGGGTTGGAAAAAGTCACTCGAAAATAATCTTATCATTCCATGATTATATTGGGGTTATCATTATGTTGAACTTAGGCCACAGCTGTTTTCAAGTCTGAGCAAAGGAGGAAAGTTGCATAGTTTGCGTATTGTTTGGTTAAGCTTTCTAATGGATCTTAAATAAATATAAAAAATATAATTATGGATCGATGAATTAGCAAAAAAGATATACAAGTGGTTGAGCTTACGTCATAGTTCATAGTAAAGGGTAGCGTCCCCGTCAATTAAGTGCATAAAATTGGGTTCATTATGTTTATTTTTTGGCATGAAAATAACCCCTCTTTCAAGATTTCTATTTTTATTTCCGATTTCTTGCAGGAAGTAAAGAAATAAATGAATTGCTTAGGCCCATTTAAGTTAGAATTCTCAATCTGATTCAACAAAGCAAGAATAAATATTAAAATGTTGGGGGACAAATTGGATACGTGTTGAAATTTTTTGGTGTTAATTTGTTGAATGGGGTTCCACGGAAAACAGTCGAAAATATAAATAAAATACATCGAAACTTTCCTCAAAAGCTGTATAATGGCTTGCAAAAATGATAAATAAGCCCAAAGAAATAATTTTTTGACGGGTGAAAGAGAAGGATACCAAATAATGAAATACAGTTACAAAGATGTCCAGTCCATATATTTAAGTTTACTTTATCCAAAGAAAAAATAGAAAAAGAAAAAGAAGAAGAAGCAATTATACATTGCCCACGATCACGGGCTTGCAAAAATGATAAATAGCCCAAAGAAAGGTTTAGAATCAAGTAGTATCAAGGTGAAAGAGAAGAAGAAAGTACTAATGAAATAAAGCTACAGATATATCTTGTCCACGTACTTGTATTTACATTATCCGCTAAAAACAAAGCATTTATATATTGTCCACTAGCTTGTACTTACTTATATGCTTTATTGTCCAAAATTGCATCGTAGAATTGTCTCGAGCCCAAAGTCTCAACTCAATCTTAGTTAAATATTGTTATAGGAACAACCGTCATTGTAGTACCAAGACAACGGTTTCTATAAGCTTCGAAAAGTTCATTTTACATTGCCCCATTGATCAAAATGGTCATCTCCACCTTTCTTCCTCACTTGTTTTTCTTTCTTTTCAACAAAGATATTATCATTATTGTCGAACTTAATTAATTTCCTCATTCGACTCTATCCCCCCATTTATGATATGGAACTCGAGAGTATAGAAAATGGATTCATTAACTCGTGTTCCTTCATCACTTTGAAAAAAAAAAAAAAAAAATCACTTGGGTACAATAGCTCAAATTCGATATAGCTGCCTTGCACCTAAAAATATGTACTAGCTCCAATGGATTTTTGACTTTTGTGGGTACATAACCCTTTTGGTCAATTTTATGCCTATCAGGCTGCTATATTGTATGCATTAAAAGGTGGAGATATAGATATAATTGAACAAGTTATATTCATCTACCCCGTAACGCAATGACCCAATTACACATAGAACTAGAAATCATAGTGATCAAAGGCTTTCCTGTTGTGATATATTGTGAGTCGACTATTTGATTCTTTGTCGTTACAATAAACTTCAATTATTTGTTGATCTCCATGATGAATTATCCTTTCTATATAAGGTTGGGAATTTTTACTGAAACCAAACCTTCTTAACCGAAACCAAATCGGAATCACAGGCTTGAATTC